GCTAAATGTGTTGGCCAGTCTCACTGCTTGTGGATAGAAGCTATTGAAGAATCTAGTGGTAAGTGACCGTATGCTCTTATATCTCTTGCCTGAGGCCAGTGGGGTGAAGAGCTCATGCCCTGGGTGGTGACTGTCCTCTGTGATGGCCAGAATTCTACCACGGCAGCGGTCCTCATAGAGCTGTTTAATCTCGGTGAGACCGCAGCCGATGATCTTCTGGGCCATATTGACCATTCTCTGCAGTGCCTTTCTTTCTCGCGAAGAGGTGTTTTCTTGTATGGAGGGAGTCACCCGCCATACAAGAAAACACATCCTGCTGGAATTTACTTTCTAGACTTCAATTAAAAACACGAGGAAGACAAGAATGCCAACTTGCCCATCGCAGCTAGCGAACTACATTTAGCACTTCACTGTATCTTACTGCAGCGATCTCATAAGCATTGCCAGTAATGGAAGGTACTGACTGAGCGAAACAGGTGCATGAACTCTGCTCGTTTTTTTCCCCACGCTTGAACTTTCCTTATTTTTTTAAAGAGGCCCCTAAACCAAGACTTGGTTATGTTAGTCTGTAGTCAGTGATCTAAGCTGCGAAAGACTTGGATCTGTCAACCATCTGCGCGTCTCGCGTTACTGCTCTGAAGCCAGGATACGACCACACTGGCGGAGTGAAGCGGTGTTTCGGACAGGAGGGGTGCTCTCTGCTCCTCTCACCTGTGCCTCCATGCGGGCCCTGCGTTCCTCCTCCTCCTTCCTGCGACGTATGTTCTCGTTCTCCTGCTTGGCTTCCGCAAATGCCTGGAGGAACTGATCAAAGATCCCAAAGAACTCATCGGGCTGCATCTTGCTGGCGTCCTCACCAAAGTGCTTTACTGCTTTGCAAAACTGTTGGGAAAACGAGCAGATCCGGTTCAGAATAACAGACTGCATCGTGCATTTCTCGGCCTACCTGATGATCCGATCTCGCACATGCCGGTTTTACACAGGAACAAAAGCTAACTCCACACCGAGGGGCAGAGAGAAAAGGACAACGTTTCAGCTTTGAGCCCTCTTCAGGCATGAAGGAGAGATAGACTCAAAGGCTAAAATGTTGCATTTTCTCTTTCTGTGCTTCATTGTGGAATTAAACTTGACTAGCTCTTTTGCAGCCAATACAAAATAGCACCACTCCCAGTTCAACCTTCTAGTTTTCCCATATTTTATTTCTATAAATGGAAGCCCAAGTTCATGTGCAACTACAAACAAGGAGGAATGAAATGCTTTGAAAGAAACCCAATGAAAATCTATCAGGAGCTCTGAATGCAACAAAAATAAAACTAATAACTGAGTGGAAATGCACTACATACGTGTTCAAGAATGAATTTTATTATTGTTTAATAATGTTTTAGATTTGTTTTCCTCTCATGTCAAGTGCAAGACTGTTTTGTCCCTATTTTTTACACATGCAGTAGCATCAAATAAATACCACATGGAGCATTAGAAACAAAAAAGCCTTTGAAATCAATACCTAAGCCTGGTTTCTATATGTTTTCAATAATTCAATGTTCAAATAAGAAGACAAACAATGTATTCCAGAAAAAGCAGCAAGCGACATGTCAACCTATAGATAAATGGAGTCATAAAGTAGGCTTGAAGGCTTAAAGGCTGTTTGTAATTACATGTGAAGTTCAAAGCAAAGATAGGTGCATGTTTGCTGGTATTCATGCACTGGCAAGCTGTGTTAAATTGTAGCGCCCTCAAAGGAAACATGCTGCAAACAGATAAAGTTACAGGACTAATGTCACTGGAGCTCGCACTAAAAATGTCAGTGTGGCAATGCATGGCTTTTACGAGTTCATTAAGATGCTCAAAAGTCTGCTGCAGGACAGGTCCACGTATTTCAACACCCTGGTGTAAATCTCCTGTAGGTGTGACTGCAGACTCCAACAGCAGTGTCTCAGTCAAACTGCACCCCTGAAGGTTCTACACTCGACATGTCTCTTTCTCCTTACAATCCCCTAACCGCAAAAGACTTTATTAACCAAAGCAAAGGCAAAACAAGAGAAAATGGAAGCTGTATACTACAGCCCAAGGGCACCAAGAATTTAAAGTCTATAGTAAACACCGCAGGGGCTGAGGGACTCTTACTTTCAACGTCCCTTTGATGTCAATTTAATTTATCATTGCCATATGGGCCAGATATCAAAACCAAATGTGTGTTAGTGGGACTTTTCACAGCTCTGAGCTCAGGAATTGTATTCAGTTTAGGTATTAAATGGTGCATGATTAACAAGCGCTGCGGTCTGATGTCTTGGCAAAACGTGACGGACATGAGGAGGAGGTGTGCTCTGCTCGGACACATTCTGAAATATAGTCTGTTGTTAATGAGTGCAAATGGACCATGTCATCTTCTCTCTGTGATACTATCTACTTTTGTCAGGAAACTCCCTTTCAGTTTAAGCTAAGCAAGCCATTACAACACAAACGGGCTTTACATGTGTATGTGCAATACTTTAAGAATCACTTTTCAGCATTCCTTTTCCACATGTACATTATCACAGACAGAGCACTATAGTCGACCGTTAACTATTAATGTACCTGCACTCTCTTGTTTTGTAATTAAGATAGCTTCTACCGCATTTAAATTGTTAAAAATAAACTTAACTGAATGCTTGCCACATTTTGAAACCCAAGAATTCTAATCACATGCAGAATGTCTGTGTTTATATTTTGTAGCTTTATTCAATATCCCACCAGGTAGCCACTGAAGAAAGAAATAAATGAGAAATTAGCATGTGAGATTAATTAACTTTTCAAAGAGCAAAACGGGTTGTTAGACCATCCTTATTATAACAGCAATTCGAGCCCAGGCTATGCTTACCAGCTCTTTGGCTTCTTGGAGTGAATCCTCAACATCAGAGAAACTGAAACTGGCCACAGTGATGAACTGGCTGACAACCTGGACAAACTTGTCTCCTGACTCTTGAGGCCTTTGTTTCTGGAAATCGAGCTCCTGCAGAAGTAAGAGAAAAGATGAATGCTGTCTGACTGGTATTCCTTCAAAGCTTTCCAATTAAGACATAGCCAACACAATCAACTATGCACTATATATACACAAATAATATTTCTGCTAAAGATCCTATGGGATAGTTTCCAAGAGTAGGGATATGACATCCAGTGTCCATTCTAAATTTCACTCTGGGTTTTAACTATCTGGCTTAGGCCACATGACCTTGTGCTGGCAAGATCGATCTCAATAAAACCCAAAGACTGCCGTGAAGCCTTTCGGCCACATTTGTTTAAGTGTTAGGAAGAGCTCTTGTATGTCTGCCAAGCAAAGTGACAGCAAACAGGAAGGCTGTCACACAATTAGGTTAGAAAGGAAAGAGTTCAGGGAAACCCCAAAGGAAACTGGGAAAAAACATCCTGGATATGAAGTCCTCTGCACTGACTTCCTTCCACTCCAGACTCAAACTGCAGAACATGTGGAAACCGAAGGCAGGGCAAACCACTTACGCTCTCCACATTCTTCAAGCCACTGCGCAGATTGTTGATGTCTTTCTCCAGTTCTGTCATGCTACAGAAGAGGAAAACAGTTCGGTTACCTTATGGTCATTCAAATGGACATTTAAATTAACCAAGCTCAGAGTTTTGTCCAACTTTGCCTCCACGCAAAGCTTTAAGTCTCCAAGGATACACCTGGGATCTCCCCGACTAAGGCTTTAAGGCATAGCTGTGCATAGTACTGTTCTCCAGCAAGACAGTCTTTGTGGGGCATCTTCTCCCTGCCTGTACAGAAGTGTGTACTCTTCAATCACCTGGTATACAGTACATACCCAATCAGCAAAGCTCACGCTTTGATATCTTTGCTTATTTCAGTATCTTTGCAGCGGAGGCTGTTTTTCCACTCTCCTCTCCTGCTGCTGCCCTCGGCTGATTAAAAACATGCTGAATTTTAAATCGGGTTGTAAGAAACAGAGCAACAGCTTTAGTCACTTCATTCAAGCTGTAATGATTATAATGTTTTTAATAATCATTGCACAGAAAACTTTGATGAATTTGATGAATATCAAAAATCCACTCCAGACTGTGCCTTCCTTCCATGTATTTTTAAAGCTTTACCCCAGTCGCGAAGTACCCACTTGGAACAGGGTACATTACTGGAACAATGCTGGCTTGCTCAAGTTGCCCCTACCGAGGACGAGGAAGAAGAAAAATCTCAGCCTTTCATTGTAAGAGTCTGGATTTGGACATCATATGCTTACAAAACCTGTCTACACCAATTATAAGCATTTTTGTTTTTTCAGAGTGGCGCATACATTCACATTCCAAGCTGGAATTAGTCTCAGCAGTCTGTGGGAGCTCCTGCCAAGCCACAGATGTATGTTCTACACCACACGCCGCAAGAGGAGTGGGCAGACTTAAGAACCCAGGGAGCTACCAGCTCATTGTTCATGATGTGCTCTGTTGCACGTGGTCCACAGCCATTTCAGGGTGTTGTGATGTTTATGGGCAGAGAAAAAATAAGTCAATATACAGTAGGAGAATTATTGTTCTGCTTTATCAGTAAAGACCGTGTCCATATTACATATATTTCTCCCATCTTTCCAAGACCGAAGGCAAGACCATACGGATTAAGCCGAGTATCATCAGACCTGAGGCTTCCTTGTCAAAGGAATATTCAAACCATCTTCTGTCAATGCAGATGCTTTGTTTTTTGTGCAGAATGCAGCAAAGTATTCATACTGCAGTTGTGATGGAGAAAAATGAAAATCCAGCATTCCCAAGAAATATTCTTTGTAAAATGCTACACTGTCAAAAGCTTTTAAAAATTACCAGACCAGAAATACTCCTATATATTTAATCCCCAAATATAGAGTACTTTGTAACACTGCTGGCAAACAGCAATGACAATGAAGCAATGAAACAATTGTTTCGGTATTTCACCTGCTATATCAACAACTACACTGACTCAGTTCGTAACACTTCTCCTGTTTCAAGAACAGCTCCATCACGACAGTGTAAAAAGCAAGGTTAAAGCAGATTACACCTGATACACGTTTTAGCCCTTTTATGCTTTTCTTTCCCAGACTAAGGTCATTCAGAAACAAAAATATTGGCTCAATACCTTATACATCATTTCTGTGGAGAGTCTAGCCAAATCCAGCTGAAAAAGCAATGTGTTTCCATGGGATTTAACTGATAACAGAAAAAGCTATTAATAATAGATTAAGTAATGAGTCTGAAGAAGAAAAGTGGATTTTTTATTGATTTGCACATAATAAGGATGAAAAGGATGGAATGCTTTCATTAAAAGTAAATAACTTTCAGTTATTCAGTTATTAACTTTCCCTATTTACACATATTTCTGCATCACAAATGGACCCTAAAGCTATAAGATAAAACAAGGGATGTCAGACCCAAGTCTATATACAACATACAGAAGAATACTACCTAAGCAGACTTTGTATGTGAGCACCCATAAAAGATTGTGTTAGCAGACTGAAAGCTATTTGCAAAAAAAGTAACCTTTTTAAAATTAATTATTGGATGGTGTGCATTATCTTAAACCCAATAAAAAAACATCGTACATATATGTTTCAAGTAGAGCTACTGTAAGTGACAAAGGTGTTGGTAATCTGTCTCACAGCGCCTTTTCACTTTTAACTCAGATTTTCATGTGGTTATGGCCGCTGCTGGGCTCACAGGAGAGATGACAGTATAAAACAGTCTTATGAAACAGTGTATTAAAATGAGCTTGATGATAAAGAGCTCTTTCCTGCCCAAGTGTGTATACCATGGGTTCACAACCTAGCATGTTCAATACTAGTTCAGAGAACTGTACCAACATACTGCACTTTACATATATTTCTCCGTTTAAAAGTTTCCAAAGAGCAAATGAGCGAAACCTTCAAGGGGCAGTTCTTTAACAGGAACTCAACACGCCTTAGCTGTTTATCCTCAGGGCTGTCCTGAACTAGAAACTACCAATCTGTTCAAAAAGGTGGTGACACAGACTAGGTTTAGGTCAGCAGCTAATGTTTTCTCAGGTCTGCCTTGGAAAGCTCAATACAGTTTGTCTTTTCACAAAGCGTTTGCCCTCTGAAGAGAAGTAGTTCGCTCAAGTTGTCAATTTTCGTCTACTCCAAGGGTATGGCACACCTTGAATAAACAGCCAAGATTTATTTCTCAAGATTTCTTTAAGCCTGAAATGGTTTGGACTTTTTCCATGTACAATCCTGTTGTTGTGATAATTACACCCCTGTGTTTTGGAGAGCGATCAGTCTTTATTGTCTGAAAGGATAAATCTTTTTGAAAACGGTGCACAAATCTCAAGTTAGAATAAACTGTTTTTGAGCTTTTCATTTAAAATGAATACAGATCAATAAAAAAAAAATCGATATGGAGGCATCAAAAGGACTCATCTTCCCTGCAAAAATATCAAAGGAAAAAGAAAGGTGTTTGCAAGTTTCACATTACATTATTTTCTATTGATAATTTTCCAACATGTCTTTATTAAACTGAAGGACAGTTTTTTCTTACTTGACTTTTGCAGCCTCTGGTACATTCTGCAGATCCTCATGGAACAGCGCAACTTTGGGGTACTTCTTTTCTAGGACTGTGATCAGGTAGTGCAGGAGAGTAATATTTCTGCAATTACATCAATAAATGAAACACGTGTTATGTAATTATCAGAAACTCTGCAGCTTAAATAATGAAATATTAATTTCTGTGCACATTGTGAATAATGCCTGAAGTATATTCAGTACAATCCCTTTACAAACATTGCCCATTCTCAATGCCACAGTCTGTTCTTGGCTCTTTACAGTTATTTCAGTCCAGAGTTCCATGTGAACACAGAATGAATCAATGAGTCTGACTTCTGCTGGTCCGAGACCATGCAAGAACAATGCCACGACACTGGATGCTTACTTGTCGATGCTGGACTTTGTGTCAGCAATCTTGTTCAGCGAGGACACCTTGAACCCGTAGGCATTGCCTCGCTGCCCTTTGTTCATGTAGTTCCCAAACGCCAGCACCACCTCCAGCAGCTGTCTCACGTTTCTGCTGTGCAGAACCTCCTTAGAGGCCCTAATGAGAGCTGCGAGCCCAGCATGGAAAACATGTGGTTACATTCACAAAAGGCAGAATACAAAAACACACTCAGCGTGCGTGCGTGCGTGCAACATGGTCTTTCCACAGCACCGTTAAAGGTGCAATACAACAGGAAACATTAATCAGAGGCACATACTTGCAGTAATGCTTAACAGAATCAGGACCCACAGGCTGTGTTGTCTCAGGCAGCACATGGACCAACGTACTACATTCTACTTCAGGATATCCAAGAGCATTTAAGAACGTCCCTTGCAAGAATATCAAGCACACACCTTCGACTTTGGGCTTGACTTCCCCCACTCTCTCGGCAAACTTCTTTTTGAAATACAGAGACTGCAGCCTCTGCTGGTAGTGGTTTATTCTGTCAAGAAAGGGCAATGGAAGGGTTGTGAAGAAGACGGTCTCGGAAAGAGCTCACAGATACTGACACTTGCCATGGATTTCACTGGTGGCTGCCTTAGTTCTAAGTGACTAGTAAGCAGAAGCAGGTTCTCAAAGAAGAATCTTGATGTGAACGTTTCAGCACTGAAAAATAGCTCATGTAACACAACAATCAACATGTTTATTTGAAAAGCATTTGTCGGCCTTACAATACATTTAGCCAATTCGATTCAATTTGTGCCAATACTTCCATTTACAGGGTAGTCGGCGAGACTTGCTTTGTTTTCACAAACTAAAACGCTTGCAGGCCTACAATCTGAGATGGTCACCAATTCATGGAAGGAAGCTTTTTTCCTCCCCCTTTAACCAGAATGAATACAATTACAAAATGAAAAGCAAGTTTCATTCATAATTACAGGAAACAAATGATTCCCAACACGTCCCTATAGTGTTTATTTTGCTAATCAGCACATAAAGGGCAGCTGCACAGTTAACAGAATTGTACTAAAAATGTGAACAAATTACAGATGTCTGATAACATTAATTAAAACACTTTAAAATTATCTTTAATAGATGTCAGATTATGAACATTAATGCTCTTAAAGCTCCAAAATGTTCTGAAATGAGCCTTACAAAGACTTGACCAGGAAACCAGGCATTTTTTCCCATATAGGAGTGGGTTTCAGAAGTCGGAAATATATTTTATTGTATGGCCAGGGCGCGTCATCCTGTGCTGTGACAACAGCCAGCTCTTTCGCCTGGGGCTACTTCTTCTAAAATAAAGACATTTTAGAATCTGCCTAGGGACTGTGATCACTTAAAAAGTCGAAGCCCTGCTAAAGAATACTGTCAATGGTTTGAGCTCGTGCTTCAAAGCAGCTAATTTAAAAGGCTTTTTGTTTTTCAAAAGTGGCTACAATCTTCATTGTCAGCAGAAAGAGTTTTAGATTATGACCTAATGTCCTGCGTGTAAGTGGATGTTTTCTTTTTAGTTCAGACTGTTCAATCATCTACCCCCCAACATCCCATTAGAAGTGGCACAGTTCTTAAAATATCACACTGCAGTAAGAAATTTGGAACAATTTCCTTTCCAGACACAAACACAAACTGAATTTAACAGTAACAAACACTTTTCACATTTTATTATCAGAACATGAATAACATGGTAAAAGAGTGACAGTAATGTGTTGATAAAAACCCTAATAATTAATTGCCTGTTAATAAAACCATTATTCTGAACCATACCTTCAGATCCAAGTAACTTTTTATCACATTGATAGCATGTTAGTACTGTAGATTGTTCACACACAGCTTGAACACAGCCCTAAACATCATTGTGACAATAATAAAACATACAAGATGGGTTTGCCAGTTACTGGCACATGATTGGAAATGAATCTCAACAAGAATAAAGCCTTTGTTCCTCAGTCTGATCATACCTGCTCATTTCGTAAAGGAAGCGATCAGCTCTCGCCATGCGGTCGAGCTCATGCTTGTGCTCCTCCAGGAGGTCCACATCGCTTTTTTCAGGAATAAACTTCAAGAGCTGCAGAGAGTCAGAGAGATGGAAGAAAAATGAGTTGCTCTTAGCCCTTCAGCACACTATGGTAAAAGGTCAGACACAGCGAAGTGAAAAACAGAGTTTAGAGTAGGGGTGTCAAACTCCCTTACTGTGTTAAATCAGATTTGATTTCAATGTACTTCACATGGGCCATGAAAACAATAAATCATCAAAACACTTAACACAGCAAGACAGTATTATTGATTTGTAAACTTCTTTTATGCCATCAGCAATCACTGCATCTTGACGGAGCTTTATGTTTTTATCATTATGAACTGTAACTAAACTTTTGGATTTGTGCTTACAGCACACTACATAAAGTCTCGCTCTGTTGAGAAAGATATTGCCATGCAACAACTGGCAAAATTAATGCACAAAGACATGTACACACCCCTTGCTGTACAGAAACTTTATTTACACATTTGTGCTACAACAAAGTATTTATTTTAATACCGTTTTATTAAAATATATGAAGCCACCGTTGCTTCAACGAAGGTGATGCCCTTGCAATTTTTCTATCGGTTAGTAAACAACAGGACTGAAACATTACAGGGGCTCGGAGATTTGCAATCACATGAAAATGATGGCTGAGAACGTGATAAGGCACTCCTTGATAATAAGTGAGAAGCAGCTCTTACCCTGATTCAGACACAACAGAGCTTCAGTGTGTTTTTTACTAGCAAATGCAATATTTTCCTTTTCACTAAAGATAATTAAAAGGCCACTATTACAAAGCCAAAAAAATCTTATCAAGACCATAGCATACCCAAAGTTAGGTTTAGTAAATCCACTGTTAATTTTATCACTGACATTGCTCCACAATGTAGAGGAAGAGTGTGGACAGGTCTCTCTGGATCAGTTCTTTTTCCTCCACTGCTTTCAGGCAAAGACGCGCCCCTGTCAATCTAGACGCGTGACATCATCACAAAGGGGCAGCGTGATTGGATAGAGGTAGAGCAGCACAGGGAGTGCTATCTCAGTAATGCTGGCAGGCACACCTGCTTGGTGTGTGAGCTATGCAGGCCCTTCAGACCATGATAGGCCCTCAGACCAAGCTAATGGGCCTGGCAGGCCAAACCTGGCCTGTGGACCGAATGTTCGACAGCCCTATCTCAGGGGAAAATGAGGTTCATCCCTTTTCTGTCCTTCTGCTTTCGCCAAGCACAAGCCCTCCCATGGCTGAGACAGCTACGGCGCCTGAGCTAGCTCAAGAAAGCAAGGTAGAGCAGGCAGCTGATACTGCTCTCACAGTTCACAAGCACTACTGTCATAGCCACACTGGCCACCCGAAAACATACAAGATCAAAGATTAAACTTAATTCATTCATACAGATTCGGTAACATAAAACTGGATTAGATATATCCTAATGTTACATGAACTGATAAACAGCAATGTTTACCAAAGGTCTCCAAGGGCAGGTGACAGATGACAGAAAGACTGAAACTTGAGAACTGTAGGCACTGTAAAACCAATCCCATTAATCTGCTCAGGACTTGAGACCAGATTCGCTCAAGGGACTCGATAAGAATCCTGTACTCTGTAAAAGACTTGTTTTCCCAGCTCCACATTATGAGATAGTGGAAGTTTAATGTATTTTCAAAAGAACAGATCTAAATGTTTGTCAGTTCATGCTGATCTGAACTAAAACACAAGGGACCATTAGTAAGTTAAGCTAAGCCAAAGGAAAAATGGCCCAGCTATTAACCTAGTGCCAAGATAACACATCATCTCACTTCTACACAAATATAGACTGAACACAATTGGAACATATTTTATAGTGCTGCTGAGTAGCTGCTATAGAGTCCCTAACAATATTCAGATGTTCAAGGGCTATTATAATGACAACATCACTTCAATAGTTCATAGGTTAGAACAACAAATACCTCAGTGCAAATGTTCATTCATCATAGAAAACTGTCTTCTCTTTATCCAGATCCAAATTAATAAGGTTTAAACGGACGCACAAAACCCCCAAAAATTCAAAGTGTGCACATTTTTACAAACTCTGAACCTCCAGAGTAAATGACAATATACTGAGAAGCAAAGTCAGCTTTTTAAGTGAAGCTATTTTTCTTTAAACATTATTTTATTCAACATCAATCGTATTCTACAATACTATTATAATATTGCAATATTGTTAACAACATTACATAATGTAATCATAATTTATTTTATATAGCATCTTTAAAAGTCGCTTCTCAAAGACCTTTACGGTAAAAAACAAGTTAACAGGAGATAAAATTAACAAGGGTTAAAAAACAAGGGTTTAGACAGCAGAAGAAGATGCAAGACGCAGACATAGACCAATGAAACAAGAGCTTTTCTGAAGAAGGTTTGGAGTCTGGATGTGAAAGCGCTCACAGAAGGTGGCTCTCAGGATACCAACAGGACAGTAATGATACCATGAGCGGAGAGAAAGAGGAAAAAAACATGATCAGACCCAGATCTTACCCTCCTTTTACACATGATGCTTACTGGAGGTAAGACCCCTGCTATCGGAGAGGTTTCAGAAGGGTTTTTAAAACGTACATCTCTTCATAAATTTTTATACTGTCGATGAGCCTGATTAATACAAGAGTGACTTGCTGTAGATAAGAATTATCCTGTTGACAAGCTCAACTAGTGCTTAAGCTTCTTAGGAATATTTTCTTGCTTAATGCTTGTGAAATAAGCACATTAGAAATACGAATTCTTCAAAATGAAATAGAATATTGCTCAACCCTACACTCCCACTCTCAGTCTATCAGGTGGTTTACCCAAATCCTGTTGTGAGGATGATTGAGAGCAGCTGAAGAACCAGTCCTGTGTTTATCTCCAGCTCCATTACCTCAACCACATGTGCCCACAGAGAGCAGATTAATCCAACCTGCTGCTCACGGAAGCACCTAGATAGCAGCCAATGTTTTAACTTGTTAATAATCCACAGATTCATGCTGATGTTTCATAACTGTACAAAAGAACTTGCCTCACTGCTTCTTTTAATCGTGCTACCTTATACTTTTAACACCGCTCGCAGATGAGTGTAAAATCCTTTAATTCCGCATGATGTGAGAGAGATACTCTCTGTCCTCTGAGCTAAGGCTGGAGTCACTGGGACACTTAAAAGTTTGCCTCTGCTATCTCACGTGCTGTCAGTGCAGTGCGCCTTTCTGCACAGAGACTGTGATCACACCTGTTCAAGCATGTCCTTGGGGAGATCCTCCTGCTCATCCATAGTCAGAATGGCCCTCTTGATTTCATCGTTAGACAGCTTCAAACTGAAAAACCAAACATCACAATGGTGTCAGTTCTCACATTGCAAAAAGCAGCCACTTGCATGCAACAACAGTCACTTTTACTTTTGCCATCAACTTCTTCTTTGATATTATGGATGCTTCACAATAAAACTTACCACAGAGAAGTCAATAACCCAATTTAAAAAAGAAGGCTTACTGTACATACGTATTCAAGGGGTTTTTTACGATACCCAAATGCTGCCATACATTACATTCGGGCTGCTGAGGAGTGCTCCCAAGCTACTTCACACGTAGCCATGAGAATAAGAAGACATTAAACTGTGCCACAGCAAAAACGCTCCAGAAGTCAAATGGGCATTGCAGACACAAACAACAATGGTGCTATGGGGCTCATTCAGAACAAAAGAAAAACAGTCGCAGCCTGAGTGGAATCTGGTAAAAGACTGACAGCAGATGTATGTAATAGAATGAAATGTTTCTGCCGTGCTTTTATTGAAAACAATTATCATGATTTTCAAGCCACACATGCCCATAAAAGCTGCCTTGGAAAAGGTACTGCTTCAGCGGTGATAAAAGAAGTGGGGATATTTATAAAGCTGAGTTCACCCACAGGCTTTCAGATTCAAATTTCAATGTATTTCAAGGTCTATGTTAAAACACCTGCTTGACAGAGCTTGCCTTTTAACAGAAAGCATTACTAATTAACTGAGGGCACTGTAGTTGCATAGAATGCTAGCCAAAGTCCCAAACATAATTTACACAGTACAAAAGGTACTGTTGAGAGTGAACTGGCAGTCATCTTAACAACACAGACAGAACACAACCAATGTCACTGTAGAACCAGCATTGATGTCATGGAGTCACATGAAAACACTTACAAGCCATCCAGCTCAAATCAAAAACAGCCAAACGGAGGCGGTCTGTCTTTATTAAAACACCACAAACGCATTTCTCCATTACGAATGAGAACTAGCTTGAGAGGATAGCGTGTGGATCATTAGGAAACCGTTGCACAACTCGGAGCGTGCCACTCCCAGGAGGACACGCAGGTGATGTTCACACCCAGGAGCCACGGAAGCTTTGCCCAGGAGGCAGGAAACTCCTTTCTGCTCATAATCGCGCCTGATCTTGCCAGCTTTCCAAAAACAAGCGTTAGTTCATGGCCAACTGTGAAATCAGCAAACTCTGACATCAAATAGTGCAGCTAACAAGTTGGTTTTATTTCCCTGCTTGGATATGGCTGTCCCTATCATTCCTAACTTGGCCACGTGGCAACTCAATCTCCAAAAATGTTTCTTTACAGTCTATTATTGCTTAAAGCTCTGCCTGGCGCAAGTCCTCGCCATACCAACAAATGTTGAGATCGCCACTGCACGAGCTTGGTGGTTATCACGCGCTCGCCTTTGGACTGCCTGTCCTTCACACACCCGAAGCTTCATCTCTACGGATAAATTTGGGGGGGAAGGCAGACAGCAGGCAAGTTAGCAAACTGTAAAACAATATAGAATCACAACACCTTGCAGACCCAACTGCAGGCAACGTTCCGAAGAAGAGCTTTGGTAAAAATGTGCAGATCATACTAGAGCGTGCTATAGATGCACAACCTGTAGATTTCATAACTTATAATCACCTGAATGCACCAGATGACAGCCACACCCTGCGTCTTGCCATTACAAGTCTGAAGCTGGGCTACACAGCTCTGTGATAACTGCACTTAGCCCCACACCCATGGATCTGGGTGACCAGGCCACTCCCTAGGAGCTTTATAATCTCTAAGCCTATGTAAGAAGTGGTTAGAGGAGGTATGGTCCACAAACCATACAGCTCTCCACCCCTTTACGTACACATGATCTCCCAGAAAGTCAACAGGTCTCATGATCCTTTTACATCCTTGAGTTTGAGAAAGTTTATTAAACTGTCCTGGGAAAAGATTCCTACCAAAACACTTATAGGGAGAAAAAGCAACTAAGTTAAGTTCAGGTCAAACAACTTATTCTGAATGTTGCCTTCAGCAACGCTACAGTGTTGATCACGTCTCAGTATTTGCAGACATGTGCAGGCCATTTCTGCAAAGAATTGATCATATTTCTTCTTGGTCTGTGAATTAATTGATGTAAAGAACTTGACTTGCATTTCAAACTGGACATTGGCGTAAAATGTACGCATAGTGCAATTTTAATTACCCTCCACATAAAGCTGTACAGGCACTGAAAGCCCTTACAGTCCAACAAACATCCCATTTCCCATTATGCCATTATCCATTCCTAGGTCTTCCTGGTAATCAAAGCTTTGGGCTGTCTGCCCATTTAAAACTGGAACTTGAAGTGTTCAATGAAAATCACAAGATGCCATTTTCAAATGCATTTTCTAGCTGTTGTCCACAAGAATTTCGGTTATAGGTTTTAGACACTTGGACATGTTTACAGTATTTAACATGTTATTACTGTTAATGCTTCAAACACCATATTGAAGTGCATATCTCTCGTTTCTGTATTAGCTTCAATTCAGTCTGCATATTCACCTATACCTCACGAAAATTATTTAATTACATTTCTAAATATTTTAAAGAATCAAAGATTGAATGTTGATACCACAATGACCAAATTCCAATCACGGATAATTAATGAGAAAAAAAATGTTTTAGTCACAGCTATAAGATGGAGTGTGTGAAATTAAGTTACTTATAAGACTGTAACTACAAAGAGATCAGAGAGGAAAACTGAAAAGTGTGGTGGAGATCAACATTATCCATATATGAAAAGGTTAACTATGATTCTAGGCCAAAGCAGAAAGTTAAGCAGATTGTCATATTTGAAAAATGATTTCCCAGGGAAAACAAGTCAAAATCTTATGTAAATACAGAATTCTTTGTGAATTAGGCTGTAAAAAAAAATTGGTGGAGTTCTTTTGCTTCAAGTGAAAGAAAGGAAACCGAGCTCTTATCGCAAAGAAAACACATCAGGATGATTAAACAAGAAAAGCGTCAAGATGAAGAAAAGGAATACAATGAATTTAAAGAACAGGTCAGAAAATAGCAGAAGGGCTGAGAGGGAGGCTAAAATAAATGTTTCGTTAGTATTTGCAACATGCCTAGGGCTGAGGAAAGAAAGGTCTGTGTTATATAGTATTACCACATATGTGACAAAGGTATTATAGGTACTATAGACACTAGATCAACAGATCACCAGGCCCTGATGGTGTTTACAGAAAAAAACATTTATATAACACAAACAAAATTCTTTCAACATTTTCTCAAGAAAGAGAACAGAAAGAGAAGCTATGAAATGTTTCATGTACAGTATAGGACTGAAAAGCATCAAAGGCTTAAACCAAGTCAACCCTCCCAGCCTGGTTGTAGAAGCCGATACCTTGTCTTCTTTCAGTGGCTGAAAGATATCGTCTGAGCACTTAGATACAAGCAAGACAAGCCAGACGGGCCAAAAAGTTTCCTGCACTTTGTAAACTATTCTGACCCGTGGAATAATCTGCTGGGTAGGAATTTTCTACACTAAACAAACTTACCTAAGCCTACACATCACCAAGTAGTTATTTTGGGTTTTGATCCAAGAAAACCTTAACATGTTGTTACATACCATCACATACCATTTTTGACAACATGCCAATGAGAAATTTGAACAAGCAGAAGTTTATATTTTTTTCCTGCGGGCTCTATGGACCAAACACTGCACTGAATATAATGCACTGCATTAGTTTTATCAGAATGTCAATGCACTGTTAAAATATCTCTGCAAAATCTAAAATAATGTTTTATATTTTGGAGTGACTTCAAAATTAACACTAACTCACTGTGTTGTGCAACGCCTGTTTCATTGTTTATTAAAAATAATTTTTCTATTCTGGTGTTTTCTGGTTTTTGTTTCAACCTAGATTGTCAATTAAACCATTTTCTTAGACATTCACATGATTTTTCTTAAGGTCTTTTACAGCAGATTTCTGAAACTATTAACTTATTAAAAGTCCAGTTACCTCTAAACCACTAGACAGCACCAATTTAACAGTAACATTAAGCAGCTAATTCGACCAACTATGTAACTCAGATTGAGATGCATAAAATCCAGGATAAATTAGTCCCTTGAGGAACTGAGTTTGAGACCCCTGTAAGAAATAATTATAATTTACATGGTACAGAGCAATAAGCTCTTTTTCACTGAAGGATGAAATGGTTGCAAAACAAGATTTTCAGAGAAAGGCTAGCTAAAAGCATCTCCTAAAATAACTGGATTCCACTTTCTCAATGTTCATGCTGGTTTACTCTTTATTGAATTGTAAATACTGCCCTGCAAGGCAAGTAAACAATTAAATCTAATTCTATCAGCTAGCAGCTCCAGCCCAGGCTACAGAGAATCACCCTGCGTAACGTTATAAAATATTCACAGGCTACCATGAGGTTGCCACAGCATTTCAATTTTAACATAAGAAAAAAAAACCATCAAATACAAACACGTCCAAAAAAGGAATATGTAATGTCAGAAGCTGAGTGCTACATCAATGTATACACTGAACAATCTGTAACTTAAGACTCAGATCTCTGCTGTGTTCAGTTAAGAAACACAAGAAAACATTTTGATCTGTTATGAATGGAAATACCCTATTGATAAATTGCTTGCAGTTAATCTCTAAAAAACACACAAAACTCAAACTTAAAGCAAATATGCAAAAGGAGAAAGGCACCGAAGCTTACCGTGAAAGAAGAATATTACAGTTCTGGGCTCTCCTGCCATCGATGACAGACAGTTCCTTGACTTTTTTGGAGCTCAAGGAATCATCATCCATCTCTTTCTAAAGGGAGAGACAGTTAACTCCTATTAGCTTTGCTTGACATTGAAACAACTTGCTGCAGATACACTGTGGCAAAGTGCTGAGCAGAGGTTTGGGTTCTGGATTTGTACGCGGATATTTGTGGGTTCAAGTCCCAGGTGAGACAGTGGTGCTGTACCCTTGAGCCAGGTACTTCACTCAAATTGCACCAGTATGATACTCAGCTACAGTACATGAATGGGGCAAATTTACATTGCTTTGAATAAAAAAGCACCTGCCAAATACATCAGTAAATAAAAAAAACAACACCTTCTGATATTTAATAGGATAAACACAATTTCATTTTTAACACTTAAATATAAACCACCTGGCATCGCAAACAAAATATAATGAACAAAATTAATTCATTCTAATAAAAACACAGTTACTCTACAACCTCCCTGAGAATTTGAAAATTAAAATGACTAAAAATGGATAGCAAAAAAAAACATTTCACAGCACGAGTGACAGCCAGAAGCTCTCCAGCTGTCAGGGGAATGATTGCTGGCCAAAGGCCAGGCCTGCCTGAGGCGAAGTCTAGCTCACAGAAGACTGTCCTGCCTTCCACCTGGTTCCTTTAATTGCTTTGATACAAAACATTTGTACACAGTATGTAGTCAACGCAAATAGCTGGATAGACATCTAGAGACACACAGACGCACAACACACTGCACGAGCATGAAAGTCAAGTTCTTTCATGACGAGGTAAATGTTTACTGTGTAAGGCACTTCAAACTTCAACCTTGCTGTTTGCATTTTGTTGTTTAAAGGAAACATGCAAAACAAATAGGGATTAGGACAGATGTTCCATTCTTCACCATTTAGAACATTTTAGACAACAAAAATCTCTTCTCTTGAGCTTCTGGTTGTTCACTGAAGCTTGCCATTCCATTAAACTCATTTATGTAACTGAGCTCAAAGCAAAGATGTGTGTGAGAGTAAAACAGTTACTTAAAAAGTTATTTTCTTAGTCTTTTCTGCTTTCCACATCAGCATTAAAATACCTATTTCCTCAGTTAACTAAAACAATACTAGTTTTTTCCGCTGAGAAGAGATGACTCTACCAAAAGTCAGCTTAGAAAGAACAGCTTACTGATCAAACAGAAAATGAAAATACTACACAGAACATCTTAAAATATGCTGAAGCATCACAGGTAACGCTATAGCTGAGTGAAAAGTTTCGTTTTCTGTCTTTTTCTTGTAGAACTAAAGAATAATGGTTCACATTATATTTGCAATGCAGCCATCTATGTATTTGCCAGGAAAACATGGTCCAAACACGACAGACAACTAGCAACATGCATCCAAAACATACTGTAAGAGGACAGACTCTGCTCTTATTAAAGATTCTTCCAGATGAAAGGGACAGGACTGATGACACAGACAAAAAACAGGAGTGTAAAGGCTCAGAAATAAAACTCACCTGTTTGCTGTTATTGTTCATAAAGAAGTCCTAAAATGCAAGCAAGAAGCAAGGAAGATGCAGCACTCATTAAAAACAGGGCAGTTTGGTGAATCAAAGCAAAAAAAAAAACAGCCAACACAGCAAATCAATATAAATACCAGTGATGAATGAGAGAGTGCCCCGTGAGCAATGGCTCAGAGGAGAAAATCACGACATTTCTGTGAATAGTGTAGACGTGCAAATCAAAGGTGCACAAATATTAATAACACTATTGGTTTTCTCCAATGGCAAAGAGAATAGTAAACTTAACCTCTCCAATACCATGATGGCAAGTTTAATAAAGAATAACTGTATGATGAACTTTCAATTCAGCACATTAACGGTATTCACTGCTTTTCACAGAAAACACATGCTACAATGCACTACAAAAAATGGTAACTATGGTGTATTTAAAACCGAGAACAAGAGACCCCCTGCACAGGGAGTGGGTGAAGCTCAGAACAAGCAGCCCTGCCAATAACAGGACTTCTTTGAAGAAATGGTTGGACATGACCCTCAGAAAAATCTGTCTCTCTCAAAAAGGCCTATATAGCCCAAATGGTCTCCGCTCACTTGCAAACTTTCTAATGTTGTGAAGCATTCCTGAAACTAAGGAAAAGAATATGGCTATAAATGAATGTTCCAATGTACTATATGATCATCAGCAGATGGAATTTTTATTTTCTTAACCTGATGGTACTGAAGAGGTTAAAACTTGATTAAAAGAGCAGGATATTTCCAGGTAAAAAAACCAAACATTTTTCAATATTCTTTATGAATTATAGCAACGAAGAATTAGTTACCTTACATTGCCAGGATTTATATCATATTTTAGCATTATGGAAACATAAGACACAAAATAAACTGTTTTCACCTGGATCGATCCTCTAATTAAGAAGCTTGGGTGGTGATGTAATCTATTAATTTCAGGAAGTGTTCTCCTTAGGAAGGAACAGGAAAGGCTATTCCAGCTTCTGCTGGAGACTTTATGAGAAACTCAAATTAATTTTACTTTCAAATTGCAACCAATCAACTTTTTCATATGGCTCAAAAAATCAATTTAAGATGTTTTTTTGCATAAAAAACATGTAAATGTTATTGTTGTAATAGTTTATTCCATAGTAGCCTCTCTGTGCCCTAGGGGTAACACTAGATTATTGATCACTCCTTAACTGTTAATCTGAGCACTGTTTGATTGCGGTAATGGCATGCATATTACTTAGAAACCTGTTACATTTTTAGTTTGCTTTGAGCATTCACTTGACATGCAACATCAGCAGTGTTTGGACAGCGACATCTTGACTATCATATCACATTACTAACACCTGAAATGCATCTTCAGTTGAAGACTGGAAAAGAATGCAATAATCAGAGATCAAGTGCTTGAAAATGAACTGGATCTGCTCTTCCGATGTCTAACCAGTAGAATGCAGAGACTTAACTAGTTTTAAAATATATAGCAATTCCTTAAGAGCTCCGAATTCACTACGAGTTTACTCTACCTGCTGCCTCTGGTAAGCAGAGAATGTCCTTTCAATGTCCTCAAGGTCCAGCACTTTGAAAACCTTTACATCATCAACCTCAGTCCACACGGTACCCTCCAGTTTGTTCTGTGAACAACGAAATTCAAAGTCAGTGGTTTAAAACGTTTTGTTGCACATTGCACGGGACATTTTTTTAATTATTTTTAAGAGATTCCTGTGTCTGCAAACACAGCTTGGGCAAAACGAAATTCCAAGTCACCCGAGCTCTCAACCGGTTGTCACTTAAGGGTCCTGTACTTGCTTTCCTCATTGAGCGTCTGTCTCTCAGCTAAATCCCACACTCAGCCTCCAATCCCATAAACATCTGCACGCCTGTTTTGAGCGACAGCAGCAGAAATAACCACTATGCTTTATCTTCCTTTCGGAGCCGAACCATGTGGCAGGCCCGCGGTGTCCAGCACGGTGCTCGGCTCGGCTCACCTCAGCCAGCTTGGCCCAGTTGAATGACTTGAGGGGGTTGGCCGGCTGTGGGATGTTCTTCTTCTTCAGGGCCGGTCCCAGAGGGGCCCCCGGAGGAGGAGGAGCCCCTCCCAGGGGTGGGGGTCCGGGAGGGGGAGGGGGCCCACCCGGGGGCGGAGGGGGGGGCGGCGGCATGCCCCCAGGAGGGGGGGGCGGGGGCGGGGGCATACCGCACGGAAGAGGAGGGGGAGGGATGGGACCCCCTGGGGCCCCTGTCGGGAGAGGAGGGCCCCCAGGGATGGCGGAGCTTTGCCTCTGGAAGGGAAAAGGAATCGAGCTTCAGCAGGACAGCAAGCGGCACAGGACACACTGCCGCTCCCCGCACACCAATCCAGTCGAGCAGGAGGCGCGGCAGGCTGGGCTGCAACACGAAGAGCGAAGTAGCCGCTCGGCAATAACAACCGTTTTTAGAGTTTGCCACATCCTTAAGCACGTGACAGCAAATTTAGAAAGTTCACACACCACGATGAACGTCTCTCATCTCATAATCCAGCCCTCCATGCCTCGAGCGCAGAGAGGTGAACGGCAGGCGTGATCCCAACCATGCCGGAGGATTTTAAAGAGTTGTTTCAGAATATACTGTATGTGCGTCATCAAAAAAAACAAAGCTCCCCAACAAATTGTAAGGTGTTGCATTAACATTTTGTTCTCATGTATATTTTTCTTCTGAAACTCTATTCTATAAAAACTGGCACGAGGGAGCTCAAAGAGGTATGCAGGCAAACCTACAGTGCTGAGGTCCTGGAGTTGTGTGGAGAGCTCTGACAGTTGCTGTTTGGCCTGTCTGTGTTCACTGGTTTCCTTTTCCAGCTTCTCTTTCATTTTATTGAGGGTCTGCATCATCTCTTCTTTCTCCTGGGTCTTGGCATCACACTCCCTCTCCTTCTTCTCCAGTTTCTGTTGCAGCTCATTGTGCTCTATAGGACAAGGGAAGACATTATGACCAAAGCCCAATGACAGGCCTTCACTTGGAGGTGCACAACAAGACAAAGGGCTTTCTACCCGGAGGCACGCATCAGAGTGATGGAAAAACAGTGAAACACAAGACTGAGAAAATCCACACAGATTGTGCCAAAGAGTCCAATTCCTGTTTGAACTGAGCATAAACAACACACCACACTAATAAGAGACCGTGTATGCTACCACATTAACTCAACCAACCTTTTCTCATCTTTTCTGCCTGCTCTTTCCACTGCTTGACTTCATTTTCATTGACCAGCCTGAATGGAGCAAAAAAAAAACAACAACAACAAGAAATCATTGAACGCAGAGTGCTGCTGCTGGCTGGTGGCGTTCCGTCACAAAATCATTTAACCTTTGGAGGGAGCCCGGTAACTATAAAGCACTTTTTGTTATGTGTATAAAGAAACTCAATCCCCTTTCACAGTAATGAAGTAATGGGAAGTGTGTTTGACTACAAAAACCCTATTTTCCACACATCTCTGTATTTGTGATGTAATGTAATGTAATGTTTCTTTAATAGCCCTATACAATTTCTTGCATTAGGAACTCGTCTTTTCGCATACCCCAGCTTTTCTCCATGGAGACACAGACACACAGACAGGGAGAGAAGTTTTGGGGACAGAGCGCAGGGTCTGCCATTGTACGGCGCCCCTGGAGCAGTAAGGGTTGAGGGCCTTGCTCAGGGGCCCAAGGGAGTAGGATTCCTCTGCCGGCCGCGGGATTTGAACCGGCAACCTTCCAGTCACAGGCGCAGATCCTTAGCCACAGAGCCCTTGACATCAGGCAATTTTCAGAACAGAACCGCTGCACTTGGTGAGGACCCCCTGTACCTCTTTTTCCTTAGTCTATGTCACCCCTCAGCCCAGCAGCAGCTGACTCACATTCGAACAACGTTCTTTACGTTGAAGTTCTCTAAAGGCGTGGCGTCCGGATCCTGGCCCTTGTCGTTCTGCAGGACGATCTGCTGGACGATGCGGTCGAGGAGCAGCCAGTAGTGGACTGTGACTCCACTTCTCTTATCTGAGGACAGGAGAGGAGAAGCATCGGCTTTACAAACGGCACAAGAAGCAGAAGAATCTCTATCACCTCTGGGGGTTCAAATTCTGCAACCCTGGAGGCCAGAACCTCTGGTGAGAAAGCACGTTGTCACCGCTCAAGCAGACCCAACGAGCTGGAGTTCACAGTTACTCTTGGGCTCAGAGACCTCAGAGCCAATAGCACATTTTATTTATTTTAGTCCCATCTCTTTCAGAAAATCACAGTGGAATTTTAACACTTAAGAGGGGTTTTGGAATAAAATACTGCAAGCATGCTGACACCTTAGGTTACTGATAAAAGTCTTTTGTATTTAAATAAAAAAAATATCAACCACAATTATAAAGATGCCACTTTACTTACAAGGCATTAGGAGACAGTGATGTAAAATGGACATGAAGTGTGGAAATGCTTCTGTGTGGTTCATCTTCTTTCTAATTAGGTCAAACATCTGGGTAGCACTCTTAGTATCGATATGCACCTAAACAAAACGGACATCATAACAGATAATGGATATTATACCAGGGATGAAACCTTCATCTCTACATTGCCAGAGGAAGTCAGGAGAGGACTTACCGTTTCAAATCGTTTTGCCAACATCAGCTCGTCATCATTTCTCAGCATTTCAAAGTAATCCAAGTGCCTGGAATACAATATATTGAGGCAGAGGGCACGCAAGATAAGACAAATGAACTGTTAGTGTGAAACACTGAAAGGGAGCATTCAAGATACCAACACAAAGACCTTACTGACGATGGGCAGCTTACCGATCTAACGTGGAGTTCTCGTGTGACCGCAGTTTGTCTATCACAGGCTGGATTCCCAACATGAGAAACTCATATCGGAGATGCACTCGGAATTCGAGGCTGTCCTGCAAAGGAACAGCAAGAGTTATTCATCACACAGCAGATAAGACATGTTTCGCCAAGACTGACAGCCCAGTATTAAAAGAGGTGCTTACTTCTCCAGCTCCTTGACTGAGAACAGCGTTGATAAATGACATGATTGCAGTTTTCAGGTTCACCTCATCCCTGTATCGCCCTGTACTTCGGTCCAGATCATTCAGTAATGTCTGAAGAAAGAAAAAACAAACATGAGTGGCCAGTATTACACCCTGTCACTCAGTCTCCAAGATTCGTTTTTTTATTTAAGTCTCTGGAAATATTTTTTTAAATGATTGTGATGTGGTTTCGGAGCTTTAAATAGTTGATACATTAACTGATATAGTCTCTCTTAGTTAAAAAGAAAACTACACTGATTTTTGTTTAAAAAGTATGTGATACGTAGATACTAATGCTTACAACAGTTTTTTTTTAATAATATTATAATCCTTGTTTTTTTGTAGTTTTACCTGAAAGCGTGTCCTCTCACAGGCAAACTTCTGATAGTGTAGCATGGCCTCAAGAATCTTCTTGTGGCCTCCTGGCACTAAGCAAACAGCTCCCATGATTTCCAGCACTGCCACTTTGGTCTTGATATTCTCCGTACTGAGGCTCTGAGCAATGATGTTGATGCTCTCCGAGTGGGACAGTACATGCGCCCGGCCCTGAGAGTTGTTCATAAGTGCCTTGATGCATCCTATCAGTGAGGTATGTATCTGAGACTCTGTGGTCTCATAGTCCATGCTTTTCAGAAAATTAAGAATACACGTTAAGCCATCCAAGTCAATGAATCTGGTGACAAACCTGAAAAATAAATGAAAAAGCCAATCAGTGTTGCTGTGGAGCAAGGGCTCAGGCACATGTGTGGGACAGAAAGAGGCTGGCTGATATATTTCTCCAAATCCAAATGCAACATCACATACGAAATAAATTATCAAAATAATTCAGTTGAAGGTAAGTTGCTAAATGAACACTGTTAGTACAACCTTTTAAACCTATCATACCAATTGTCTTTAGGATATAGTGGAATTCACTACATTCCTTATCCTGTTGAAATCAATGGTATCCCTTAATATATTTCTCTATAATTAAGGACACACTGTTTAGATGGGCTGTGACAAGTAATTGCTCATGAAATAACCTGCTCTGCTGAACACACCACACTCCTTGATCAATAATTTATTGCAACATCATCCCAGTACTTGATTAATAGTGTATGTTCTGCTTAGAATATGAGAATTGAACTACATAATTCTGCACCTTCGTTCACAGTAATATAGCCTATAGTCCACCATAAACCAGTTTAACACTTAAAGCAATTCATATATTACTGCTAACACTAAACAATAAATTGACAATAAGTCATCCATTCAAAGCTGAAAAGGTTCTATAATTCTTCATTATAGTAACTGCTTCTCTTCCAAATGAGCTAAAATGATATGACAAGCTTATTTTATAGTCCATGAGGCAAAAAACAAGCGTTAACAAATTAAAAAGGATAACTTATGGCAGTAGTGGTACTAGTTAGAGATGAGTCTGCAGAAGATAGATGTGTCTTGTTTTTTGCTTCTCAAATCATCAGAGACTGCTCTTCTTCACAGTGCTTCTCTGAGCTTCACAGGGGTCATCTGAAGAGTGTGTTCCAAACAAGTAACGAGTTCTATCTGGCCTCAGTCAGCCGACAGCCCCTCACTGAAAACTACAGACTGTGAAAGACTGTGCTAATGGCCAGATGAATTCGATGTTTGTCTTCTGTAAGGTGTCCTCAAGTGAGATTCCTTGGGGTTTTTTAGCGGGGGGATGTCTCATCATTTCTGTTTGTTGCAGGAGCAAAGTTATAATGTTGATGGTCTTACTCTGCTATATTTCAGGGGGGAACCGAAGGCTGATGAGCAACACAAAGTAATAAAACCCCTGGTAATGGCTCCAGAGCAAGGATGACTCAGCTGTGTCCTGAGGGGAACTGGGATTAAGCAGCAGCTCTGCTTTCCTGCAGCCACGGCCCTCAACAGGCAAACTTCCTGCTACTGTGTGCTGCCTGCCTTTGATGTGGACTGGGGGTCGCGTTTGGTCAGGTCCGCAGAAGGAGAGCGACCGGTTTAAAGTCAGTTTGCGTTAACATGGGGTGACTTAATCGAACAATACCTCATGGGCTGTGTTCGGAGAGCTGTTTTCAGGCTCTCAATTGTTTTATTTCTCTCCTCTTCATCTTCTTTCTCCAGGGCCAGGAGGGTTTTCCTCTGTGTGACAAAAAAAAAAAGGTTATGAATGGTTTAATTTAATGAAATCCTTGCCTGGAAAGCAAGATGATCAGTGGAAACGTATACACAAACCTAAACAGAAATATGATTTGACTGCACTCAGTTTTAATTGTTTCTTTAGTATCCCTGGCCATTGCCTTTGCTTGGAAGCATACGTCAATTCTCTAAGCACTGTGACGTGACAGGGTATCAGTTCTATGGGGAAATATATAACAGAAAAGATATCCAAACCCCTAAAAGCCTGCATGCCTTTAAATTTTGTAGCGGTGTTTTGCTTTATTCTAAGATCCCACCCAACCGAAAGCAAAGCCTGTTTTATAGTAAAATACAAGACACTTCAAATTGCTCTGATTTTTTGATTCTCTCAAATATTGTTATGAGGCCAGTTAGCTCACAATCTAACGTTACCTTTAATATGACGAAGAACATTTAATAAAGGATATAATACAAGTAAAATGCTCACACTAGACCATTTATTTAAGACAACTCACAGCAGCCATGGAGTTCAGTTGGTCAATATAATATTCAGGCCAGCTGGTTGCACCTTTATTTTCCTCTTGATCCTGAAATGGTAAAGAGATGTGCAGAATTAAAACGGAGGATGAAATTCAGTTTTGACTTGTGCGACACATTTGAAGCTGCAGAGGTTGGAAGAGACACACACGGAGCATATGCCATCCTGGGAAGAGAAAAATAAAATGAAAGAACACTCATTGGAAATCCTCCCATTCTGCTCAAAAGTGCACATTGAGTATTTAAGGTAAACATCCTTTAATGAATTAGCTTGAAGTTAATTTTATACTTGTGAGGCTGAAATAATTAAGTCTCTTATGAGAATGAAGCTTTGCACTGCAATGCTTTATCAACCACTGTGAAAACAAGATAAACGTAGCATTCCACAAAAATACAAAAAATACAAAAAAATAGATTCAGGAAAACGTATGCTGAATTACACAATTACATGTTACACAAAAGAGAGATAGACAAATTATGGCCAAATTAGCAAGGTGCTACAACAAAATACTGTCAAGAATTGCTCGGGTAAAATGGATTCATACTTCTAATAAAAAAGCACAAGTAAAATTCCCTCCTGTCCTCTGGGGGACCTGCTCTACATTGAAAAAGCAGCTGTATGGTTTAAGAAGGAATGACAAGATAAAGGAAAGCTTTAGAGATTTGTAAATAAAAAACCTGATTCTGAGCAGCTCTGAGCTTGCATTTGCCGCTTAAAGTCTCTTAGCTGTTTCGTACTGAATCTACAACATGTGGGGCACCTAGGGGTAACGTAGCAACTATGATTCATGGCATAGCCTGCCTGGCAATAAAGAATGTTTCAATTCAGACAAAGATCTCCACAATGAGAGTCACACAATCCAGGCCCTTTCTTCACACAAAGCCTAAAGTAACACAGTATGGCTCTTTTGTTTTCTGAAAACAAATTAAAGGACATTTAATTGCCAACATAATTGTTTTGCATACAGACAAGTGCTTTAAACGGATCAGGAGTCTGAAGCCGGTGTTAATAAGCAAGGCCTGGTGTGGTAATTCTTAATAGCTTCACACTCCACCTCTGTGCAGTCTCCTGTGATTAATGGCAGTCATCCAGCATAAAATAATTCTTTTTACTGTAAACTGTGTCTGCAGTTGGACCCTGACTACACTGTCAGGCTGCTTCAGACACTAAATGCTTTTACATTTAAAATGATCAAATTCCTTGACATTATAACAATGTATTACATTGAAGAGGGATTTACTCACTTACAGCAACTGAGATATAAAAGCCAAATATGATTTAGAGTCCTCCACTTTACCAATTCAAAAATTAAGTGCATAATTTCAATAACTAACCAGACATTTCTTAAAGGAAAGCAGACTTTCATTAGCTAAAAATGTTTCTGGCCATTTTAACAATCTCCTGCCAACAATTCCAAAGACTGCGGCTATCTTAATTTGCAAAATTATATTCTGCTGATCTATTTGCTGAGGTTCTGGCAAATAGATTTGCTTTCGACTTAAGAGGGATACTCACAAATCATGTGTAGATTCCTTCTGAATATAGTTTGTACAATTTGAAAAACTCCATTCAGGTATTGGCATTTGTGTTATGAAGCACTTCAATTATTTTTGCAACCTCTACCCCTGCTGCAGAAAAAAAATGCATCTGAATGTATTGTTGAGCAGCTTTACTGACTATCTGAACAATCCACATCCAGAAGGAAAACAAGGAAACAGAAGTTCAAAGCAGTTTCAGTTTCCAAAACAATTAAGCAGCAGGACACCTGTTTTATTGTTATGTTTCCTAAATTACTCAATTTTATTGGAAGAAAAATAACTAATATTGCAGGTTTCTCTGCAACCATGCTTAAACCCTTGAAACTGCACAATAGGAGCCAGAAGGTCCAAGAGGAGATTTACAGTTCACGACTGTCCAGAAAAGGGTTCATGGAGCAGTCACTCAGGAACAGTGATAACCTCTTGATTGTGCATTTTGTGGGAACACTGCTGAACAAACACCTGTCAATGCAGTCTTTTTATCTCAGGAACCTGCACGGCTTTGAAGAATATCCTTGAAAAAAATCTTTGCTTAGAGATAAAACAGTTGGAGAGCTAGTACAGAACTTGAGAACAGGAGGCAGGTCTTTGCCCAAAAGGTCAAGGCAGGGTGGAACAGGCGACCAAGCCATGTTGTTAAAGTCAATACCTTTCTTTCAAGAAAGAGCTGGATGAGATCCTTACATCAACTAGCTACTAACTAACACCTGGGTTAGAATGGCTGCCTCTTGTTTGTAACCTTTTCTATGTTCTTATGTACTAAAATCACAAGGTACGGAATGGTACAAAGTTTTAGGAGGATTTATTCTTGAATCTAAACAGAAAGACATAATTAGGCAAACTGCTAGGCGTGACATGAAAGAAATCTGCGTGGGCTGATATAGCAGCATACACCAAACTTGAGCTGTAACCAGTAATTGAGAAAGAAGCCTTTGTCTTTGGAAGCACAAACAAAGGGGTTATGCTTGCTCTTGCCAAATTAACACAACGGCTTTCCTTTTTCCGTTCTACACTGTAATGCAGAAACTGACACATACAGTATAGCTTATAGCCAGTGCAATTAAGAGCAACAGTATTGCACCAGGGAACATGGAACTGAGAACCACAGGTGGCAACCTTTTGGCATCTAACCTCATGACAAACCCACATCCCCCTTGATAATGAGAGGACTGGAACCATGAAGACTGAAGGGGAAAGATAGTTGGCGCTTGCCTAGGAGCGATGACCTAAGACGCGGCTTGTTTTGTCACTCTACAATGGCTCCTTTCAACAGGCATACTCTCAGTAACAACAATAAACAGCAGAAAACACTGCAAACAGACTGCCTGCCTCACAGTACCAGCTAATGACAAAACTGACTTCAGTGCCGAACTGGTAGACACAAGGTAAGTCAGCACAGAGAAAGTAACTATTGTTAAAAACAGAAATGTTGCCAAAAACAGTTTTGTTCAAAGCACCACGTTCTCTGTTTGCACACAATCCTTAAAAAAAGACATTTCAAGTGGAAATACTGCCTTTTGTTTTCCTTTGTAATTTATCAGTTGAAATGCCTTAAACATTAACATTCTGTCAACAATCATCTTGACAATCTGGAAAGTATCTGCAAATCTCAGACTTGCAAAATCTTACAAATCCAGGAAAACCTGGAAAAATATAGATACAGTTCCCAATCAAAGGGCATCCCTTAAGCAAATTCTTCTTTAAGATTAAATTTAATTATGGAACAAAATGGTGAGTGGTCAATGGCTTCCTCAAGTAAGTGGCAATAACAGTGCAGGAAGATAAAAAAAAGTTCTGCAAATGTCAGACGCTTAGCCAGTTAATGCAGTCCAGAGCCAGTGCAGTAATCCACAGTGCCCTGGAAAACAAGTCAAAGAGTCAAGCAAGTAAGAGGTCAGGCTTTCAATGTAAGACACGCAACCAAGAACTTCAAAGAAGCTCAAGAGGCAAGCTCCCCTTGCCTCACTTATTCCCACGGACAGGGAACACTGGCCCCAAAGATCTGCTGTACAACTGGCGGGAGCTGGAGCGATCTCGCAATTGTGCAAGCATTAGCAATGAAAAAGCACAGAATGTTTCTGTGCCTTGGAGTACAAGACGCTATCCTCATGTTGTCCTCATATTAAATGCAACCAGGGCTCCTCTAGCAAGGAGAACACGTAACCAAGCTGCACCAAGGCCGGGTGGACATGAGTCAACCAGCACAGCATGGACATGGTAACATGGACACAGGAGCTGTTGAGTGTGGGACACTTTCAGCAGAGGAAGCAGTCACTCGAACAGGCAAGCCTGTGTGATATAACCTGGGCTTCCCCTCCTGGGTCAGGAAGAACCTGCTTCCTCCAATCCAGCCATTTCAATTCCAGCCAGTCTTGGGCTTGGGGTTGTCCTCCAGATGCTTGTTACTTATCTCCAAAAGAACCAACAAAAAGGGAAGTACTCTTCTTTTTGAGCACTGTACTCCAACAAGCAGCACTCCTCTTATGCTCAACAGAATAGCTACATTTCCTGAGCTTTTGATGAAGAACAAAACGTCTTAATTTTTACCTCCATCGCAAGTGCTCCCAGCCTCAGCAAGGCTGCAAGCTCACAAAGGGAACTGAGGAGAAAACTCTGAATGGACGGGCTTGTGTTTTTCAAGCACACTTTAAAAGATGCATTAAAAATAAACGAAACTTCCCACCACAATGCCTGCAACACTGTATGAACTGCAACAACAATTTCTACAAATCTGGGAGTTTGTTGACTGAGCCCAGACAGAGTGGGAAGATGCAGTCTTGGGTGCTGAGGCGGTAGGTATGGCGCGACGCCGCCATCCCTGTAGGCATTCCAGTCCCACCGTAAGCCCCAAACAAACGCTGCACCTGTGAGCACAGACGTCCTTGTTTGGATGGGAAAGTCTGCACACTTCCCTTTCGGCAATCTCAAAGCAAGTCTGAAGCCTTGAGAGACCTGTGCCAAGCTGGGCTGGGCTGGGCTCTGGCCTGCCGCAGTGCTGAGCGTGCATTATTGCCTCCATAGCCAAGAACCATCATTTGGCAGGCTAATCAGGAAGACTGGGTGCTCCCCAGTATTTATTTTCTTCAGCTCTGCTAACAAAATTAATTGTGATGAAATATGCATTTGGCCCCACGTCAACCACAACACATTTCGACGAACTCTATATAAACCAAGGTCTTCACCAGACAAACATTTTGTGGGACTTAGTTTATAATAAACATCTGCTCCTTTTGAAGAATAATTGAGCAGTTCCAGGATTTTTATGTGCATCTTTTTCTTTACTAGAGAAATCAGGGCAATATTCATTTTTTTTAGCAAGTGCCCTATTTTATCCTCAAACATAAACCCCCTCGACACCAAGTAATTTGCACTTTAACTGGCACACAGCAGGTGCGATTAGGTAAGCTGTTCTAATTTGCTGCTTGTTTGCCTGGATCAGACATTCACCAAAAATGATCCAGCTTTGTAAATGAATAGTTAATCAGCTTCAAAGCTAAACCAAAAGAACAAGACATCTATTATGTCTAAAAATATGAAGGGCGTTAAAAGAAAAACTGATCTATGCAAGACTTTCAGGGCAAGGTTAGCTCCCTCTGCAACAATGTCCCAAATATGATTTTTACGAATTTTTCATAGAATTGGCGTTGCTAGTGACATTTGAAAGCACTCAAATTAGTAGATGACTGATCTTACAAAACTATTTTTAACTATTCAAAATATTAACACGATGATAACATGGCTTGTGGGGACTGAGAGCCAGGGAACCTTAAGAACTATCAAACTTGTAACACGCAAAGATTAATAAGCAATGTGTCCATTTCAGGATGCAGTGCACTGCTGGGTCCAAGAGTAAGCTTTTTAAACAAAATGAGTATCACTTGTGAAGCCTACTCAACACACTCTTCAGCAAGCATACAGGAGGGACTGTTATACTGAATGACAGAGTTTAGAGGGGCAATGTTTACAAGACCGACATCAGCAGAAGGGAGTGTGCTTCCCCTACATCCTTTCCAACCCTCCCCCCCCATAAGAAAAAAAAAACGGTGTCTGGGTTCCAGACCTGCTGGCTCTGAGGAGAGAATACCACAGGTTCACAGCTGGACAAAGACCCTCGCGTATCTGTTATCTGAAACTGATGAGGACCGGAGTTTGAAATGGAGATATGGCAGTCAGCTACAGTACATCAGCTCCTCCCCTCACCCAAGGCACCAGGCTTGTTAACACTCATTTTACAAAGTAAAAAAAAAGGTCCAAGTCAGGGAGGACTGAAACATGATTTGCACATGTGGCAGGAATTTGGATTTCGACTGCGCTGATCTCCAGAAGTCATCCATCTCCAGCACAGCGAGGGTGTCTTCTCCCCCAGAAGCTTAATATTAAAACTGCGCCAGCTGCTCCAACTGTAAAGGATGTCAAAGCAAAGCCGTCATGGAGGAGCTCTGAACTGCCTCTCTGCTCTGTGCTCTCCAGAAATCTTCCTTGATTCAAAACCACATAATCAAAACTATAGACTTTCATAATACATCAAATCTGCGACAATGCTTGCGTTAAAACCAAATACAATTAAATAAATCCTACATACATTTACAATAAATCTTCTGCTCTTTGACAAGGATGTTAAAATGTACTCGTGGTACTTTAAATGAACATTTTGTCAAGTTAGGCCACAGCTAAAACAAAGAGAGGTCGCTGTAAGAACTCATGCCGAATCTGAAGGTCAGGTCCCCTGAAAGTAGCATAGGGCTGATGAATCAAAGGAAAGCAAAGAGTCTGGACACAGACAAGAGCTCAAGTTACCGGGCTGATGTCAGCATTCACGACAGCTTGTGAAATGTGGCACAGAGTTGTCATCTCTTTGCATTCACTCTTTGAAAAAGAAGCCACACAACACATCCCTTTCACTCTCCCCCTGAGCTCATGGGATGTGTCAAGCACCCAGACCTCTCCGTAAGAATAAAGACAAGAAACTCAGCAAGCCCCATCCTCAGCCTTTATATTTATTCATTGGGTCTTCAAATCTCATCCGTTCTGGAATTGAAAAGAACTACAGTCTACACAGCCCAATGCCTATTTCTCCCTGATTGTAAAGAAAATAAAACATGCCTGATGGTGACATTTTTATTGCTGAGCCACAGGAATGTCATGATGTTCTCTGTTTTTGGAAAAATCCCAATTATATTATCTTTAAATAAAGGGAGAAGATAATGAGTAGTGTGCTCTGTAGCACATTTTTTGAAGTCTGAGCCTATAATTCCCAACAAAATGAAATATAGTCTCTGGGGAGGAATATGACATGATTTCTGTAGCCACAAAGAGACAGCAAATGCCACCCACACCTCTAAACCCTACTGTACACCCAAGCACTGCACAGGGTGGACGAAGGAACAAAGGATGTTCTTCTTCCACTATACCCTGCGCTACTGCCCCTCCTACAGAGCTCACTACGAAGCTGGAGATCTACTTTCCAGGGCTCTGTGAGTGGTACCAGCTCGGCACTGAGGCCCAAGAGTACTCTGGATATAAGGCAAAGCCCTTCCCTATACTGTAGGAAATACTTTCGGTGCCTCCTCTTACAAAGACACAGGCATTAATCAGAAGAGGATTCTAGCATCTTAATTACAGTTATCTTTTAATCAAATAGAAATGCGTTAACAAACAAGGAACACGTTTTTTGATAACCATACCATGAATTGTTGATCTATTTCACTCAGTTAAATTCAGCTAGATATTTACTGATATTTTTTTCTTTTTTTTCCTTCAGAGAAAGTCTTGTTCGTCCTGAAGCCGTCAAAACAAATTCAATATCAAACCCAGTAAACGTTAAAAGTAACATTTTACTTCAGAAAGCAAACATGTTAGAATGTTGAAAGGATGGCTCTAAGGCAACACCAGGGTCTAAGGGTCTGCATCTTGTCACAGGCTCTTTAGAAGCTTGGGAACAAAAACAAATTCTGAGAAGAGAAGACACAGAAACGTTACGGAGCGTATCTGTCAACGTGAAGGATCAAGCAAGACAATGCACAGCAAACAGCGGTCCCTCTGCATAAAGGGCCAGAGAGATACAGACTAGATACAGCAGACAGCCATCTTTATTTCAATCAGTAACCTCCATGCAGAACTCCTATCTGAACTGCAGACATGAGTGCAGGAGGGAAAAAAATATAGTGGGAGACATAAAAAAAACGGTAAGCCTATTATGTTAAAAGAGACGGCACTGTTTAAAGGCCTGTTTCAACACACTAGCACAAAATACAGTGTAAACAACCTGAAAGCAGAAAGTTCTCCTATTTAGGATATGGTCAAGGTGACAGAATTTCATTTCCTTCTGATTTTGGAAAACCAAGAACCCTGGACCCTGTGTATAAGATGGAAATAAAAATAAAACAAGTGTGCCTCAAAGTTAAACCGCAATTCCATCCGTTTCCTATGTTCTGAAAACTACGCGCGCGCACACACACACACAAGCTCACCAGCAGAAGCCTTTCATGGCCCAGAAGTTCATTGTTTCAAGAAAATCTGTCAGTTCCAAATGTGAAAAGATTACTAACAGATGCTGGTTTTTGGCTGGGACCCGGGAGAGACCTTGCTTCAAAGTAGGAACGTGTTGTGTTTGGAACAAGAAAGGGGAATTACCTTTCTAGCAAAAAACTGCAAGCGTTTCCTATTGAAAACACCATTTTGTATTCAGCAGCATCTTAATACAATCCAATGTGCTTTGTTCCTCTCAGAGCAAGAGCTCCTCAGAGCTTTCAGAAGTCTCATAACGAGCTCAGAACTGCAGCCTTACAATGAAAATTTGGCTTTGCTGGGGAAGAAATACAAAATGCCTCACGAGCATTTCTGCTGACCTAATATCTCCTGCCTCCAGGTAAAGATCTTTATAGCATTTGGAACTGTTTAGAAAATATTTCATTCCATGCCTGGTCTTGTTAATGAAAGGATATTTTTAAAGTGCTTTTTCAGGAGACATTGAATGGTGTCTTGGGGGTGCTATAATTCAGAATATCCTGCACCTGCTGGTGGCCTCATGTAACAGAAATAAATGGAGGTACTAAGAGGCAGCTGGGACGTGGTCACTAGCACCTGCACAGTCATCATAAATGCAAGCATTATAAGAACAATTATAAGAAACATTGTAAATGGGAAAAGAGATTTGACACAGCTAACTTGTTTGGTGGCACATTTCCAAATGACACAAAGATCTAATCCAGTCATTTCATGAAAGAAAGATATCTGAGAAGCAACTTTGACAACATGGGTAGCTTTATTCCAGATTACTATTTCTACAAAGAGGTGTTCTCAGTGTAAAATGCACTTTGCTGTTGCTTCCACTTGGGTTGTCTTGTTTTCTTTTGCTAGATACAGATCTTAGCTATTTCCCTTTAATCTTAGACACAGACAGGTGACTGTGAAGACAAGCATCTACAACTGGAATACAAATTCAGATTACCACACCAATATAAGGAGGTAATTTCCTCATCTTCTTTTTCACTCAACCACCTTCTTGTATTAGTTTGTGAAAAATGTCTACATGTAACTATTTTAAAAAAGGTTACATTGCTAAAACTATTAAAGGTATAATAGGATTTTAAGAAACTGCTCCATGAAAAAGTAGGTTTATGCAGTGAGGGGTATTGTGATGCACAGGGTGAGGTCTTCCAGGAGGGATTATAATTAGTGCCCAGAATGGTCTCCGTTAAAAGCAATATGCCCCTATTAGAGCACTCCAAGCCATTAATGCAAAGGACATGACTTGCAATAAATGTTACGTAACATTTCCAACACTGTTAACAAAAGCGACTATTCACCACAGTTTAAAGCAGTTTAAACAGAATTCACTGAGACACACATAATGGCACGTACACTACAGCGCTGCATAGAGTAAAATTATCCCCCATTTCAATTCCGTGTCAAACTCAGCAACACTTTACACTTTGGGCAAGCAAATTAGAAAGCTGAAACAGAGACCTTTTATCTCCAAAAAAGCAACTCAGAAGAATGTTGCGATTTCACAAAAGAGGGGACAACACAAAATTAAATCAAACAAAACTCTTTCTCCATTCTTTGCATGCTCAACTGCACAGCAACGTGTCCTAATTGGTCCCTGGAGAGGCATTATAAAACATCCTTACCTTCTTCTTGCTGCAGTATATCTGCCACTTCTTCTCTGCTGGTAGGGCAAACATGGCCTCCCTGTGCTTGTCCGTGAGGTCAAGCTCATCCTGGGACAGAAGGAGAGGAACAGTTGGTCATTCCCCAAACACGGAGCTATCCTACAGCGCTACACAGAACTGAAAACAAACAAAACTGGGTCCTACTAAATGAAAGCAAAACAAAACATTAATGTTACAAGAGAAGCACGTTCCAAAGTAAGGAGCTGCCCTTTGTGTGTTATCGATTGGTGCTTTCTAAACAATGGCTTTCTATTAACTTGGGCGAATCCCTCCGCACTCAATCCCAGCTCTTCGCTTAAGAAGACTTGTGGATGCATTGATTGATGGGGATCAAGCTAAATCAGGCACTACATATTCTGCAGGAAAGGTCTGCAGAAAAGATTTAGTGATGAAAAGGGGTAAGAAAACACATAGAACAGATCACGATGAGGCACTGCAAGGCTGACCTCCATATTTTCTGGAAACAGATGGGGATACTTTCTGGAAACCACATTAGCAAAAATCTGGTCTTAAAAAAAAACGTAAAGGCATTCTAGCAAACAAGAGGTCTTCAGCTATTTTTAACTTCAAACAATCCCGTAGGAGAGGCAGGAAGCAGACGTGTGCATTGTGGGACAGTAATGTTTGGTGAGCTGTGTTTCATGTAACACTAAACATTTTTGCATCCTGCTGATATCAGCCTTTTCACTCGTGTACAAGGACTGGTATGAGAAATCACTCAGTTCTGAAAGAAACCAAAAGTTGCTCAACATATCCTTTAGTGTTTAATCAGGATAACAACCCCTGTGGAAGCTGGAATGATGTTGCAGACCTTTTCACTTTGTTCTGCATAGAACTGTGCCTGATAACGACCTGCTCAGATCCCAACACCCAACACCAACATGTCTGCGCTACACGTGGATGCTCTTCAACATCTTTCTTGTCTGGTTTGGAGTTGAGTCAGAAATACTAGAAGACTTAACCATTGCAGGGATGCTAACAAGGATGTATGGAGATGAACAGTTCACTCTTTCATGAATAAGTTAATTTTTTTCTCTCAAAATCACAGCTAAGCTCATTTGTTTTATGTTGCACTCGTTACGTTGCAAATTTTTTCTTTGATGTGCTCTTTACCTACCCTCAATTTTTAGCACAGTTTAGCAACTTCAATTTAAAATATTAAAAAAAGATAAAGGACGGTGGTTCTACTATTTGATACACAGCAGAAAATGCTGTAGCACAAGTAATAATTGTGGTCTCTTTGGTGTAATTGGTGTACAGTAAATGTGAAACTCAAAACTGCATTTTTTTTCCTGCATTTAAACCTGAGCTCTCTGTGGGAAGGAAGGGTTAATTTCTTACTCGCCCTTCTCTGGGACATGCTTATTTGGCTGTGATAGCCTCGAAAAGCCTTCCATGGAATTGTTAAATTATTACCTGCATTGTTACATAACCGGCATTACATTCCTTGGCAGCCTGTCTCATAAAACTCATTCCAGATGTTCGGGTGCAACTTTAATAGCTTCACCTGCAAGCCATTGCAATAACCCCCATCCGTTTTTGCCCCATCTCTGCCATAACCTTAAAGAAAAAAAAACGAAAACCTTTCTACTATTTGGCAAAAAGTATACAGTACATCAACTACAGGAATCAGTTAGTCACAAGAAAGCACTTTGAAGGCAACTAGTTTACACTAAAGCATGCCAGCACAGGAGAGAGCTCAAGACCAGATCGCTGCCTAGTTCAGCCGTGTGTACGCTGATGATAGCCAGACACCCAACATGCCTGTCTGGGCCTCCCATGGGGGCTGAATTCAATTTGGGCAGGAGATAGACAAGCACAGAAAACCAAAGGCTTATATTTGACCTCTACTGGTTTCCTATACCACTGCTGTAAGTTGACCTCTAATTAAACAATGCAGTATGAAATCAAAGCTGTCAGCACAGCATGTCTGACATTACATTTTTCATGATCTGCCATCCTCAAGTTCCTAAGAGCTAGCTGTACATATACATATATGTGCAAAACAGTTGTCTTGCGACAGTCTTCTCTGCACTTGCAGAGAGCATAG